GACATCCATGTTTGCTCTCTCTCTCTCTTTCTCTCTCTCTCTCTCTCTCTCTCTCTCTCGCTCTCTCTTTGTCCCGCTGAACGAAGTTCGCGAGGGGACTATGAATATGAAATGTGTTCCGTACGTGTGTGCGTGTGTGCGTGTGTGCTCAAAATGTTAGAATTTGCTTCTTCTCAGTTTACACTTGCAACGCTCTCTTCAAAACCAATTTGATACATACGGTTGCGCATCAAAATCAAGTGCTGAGGAGAATGAAAGTGACCCAATAATCAATGAGCTAAACAAAGCATTTCTTGCTTTACAACAAAGTTACATTTGAGACAAAGAATTCCTTGGAGAACCAGTAAAAAAATTCACAAAGAAACTTCATGAACTAACTTTTAGAACGGATACTACGTTAGCTTCCGCGCTTCACTGCTTTGGCCGATACTCTGGGGTGGCACATGCTCTAGGCAAGAAAAAACAGAAATCTCTAGTCGGTATGAAGACAATTGGTATTCAGCCAACTGCAGCAGCTAGGAGAAAGATGGTTGGGGGCGGCAGAAACCGCATTGGTGCTGGCAGACCGTCAAAGGATTGTTTGAAAAATGTGAAAGAAAAGATGCCGTTCAGCTCTCAGATTATGCCTAGCCGCAAAGCCCAACATAACATTCATGAATGTGTTAAAAACAACCAATCTCTTGGTAAAACACACTCTACCAAGTAAACTGTAACAAGTAAAATTACTTGGATGTTGTTAGTGTTTTTATTTCAAATGTTTTTTTTAAGAACATTTGTCAGGATGCATGCTTTCAAGGAAAAAGACTGCATGTACGCGTAAATAATTTTGTCCTATGACAATGTGTGTGAAAATTACCTTCCATATAGAGTAGGTAACCAATATTGTCTGTGCTTTCTTAAGATAAAGTGGTACATCGCGAACATATCTCACAAAATTCATGCTCATAATAAAAAGTATATACATGTACAGATGTGTGTGTTGTGTTGTACTCCATTGTGTGTTATCAGAATACCGCCACTACAGGGTGGACACCAGTTTTTTTAATTTCAATCTATTTATCTTATACCTCCTAAATTATTGTACAGGAGAGCAGCCCTATTTAAATATTTACCCTGGGAGTTATTTTCCTTTCAGTACTTTTTAGTTTGTTTTGCCAGAACAGTGTCATTCCTTCAAAGATACCGACTCTACACTGGATATCTACGACTACTACCATCATCATCACCACCGTCATCATCGTCATAATTACCATCATCATCATCATTTATCATCACCATCAACATCACCAAAACACCAATGTCTGATATAAATTGTCAATAAAAAAACGCCAATGCCATACTGTATATTTTCTAAAAGTAACATAATTTCTGTCGACAAGCGACATATACACTAGAACTTATTAAATGAAAGTGTCAATGACACTGTAGTTCACCACAAAAAAAATGACACAAATGAGTGAGTGAGAAGAAGTCAGCTTTAATTGAGCAACCATTGACGTACATTATAGAAACGAAGAGTATAGGGAGAACTCCCATTATATATTCTTGATAATTATAGGTGTAATTTTTTACGGGAAAATAATAAATAATATTATATTGATTATTATATATTGGGTGCTTCTGAGCTATTGAGTTATATTTTTGTGACATCATCTTTCAAAATAAAGATGCATGTATTCTGCACTGTATTGGCCCTGATTATAGATGTATTAAAATTTTAGAAAAGCCACGTTAGAAGATAGTTTTGAGTGTATTACATATAAAAATTCAGATTTTGTATGAGTTACTTTGAAAGTTACGGACGTTACTCAAAATGCTTTGACAAGGTTTTGAAATAAAAATACAAGGGCTAAATTGAGGATGAATGTGAATTTAATTCTAACCATAACTAAGACATTATAATGGAGGGAAATAAAACTTAAATATTTATACAACATGTTAAGCATGCAAAAATGACACGTCACAAAATGTCACGAGAAAACGTTGACATTTTCACACTAAAACATGTATAAAATTTGTATTCCATGACAAATTCTGGTCAAAACTATTGTTTTTATCTCTACAGCTTAAATTTGAAACTCTACTACATTCATAACTTGTTATAAACAGATATATTGAAAAAGATGTCCCAAAAAGTTACGGACGTTATTTATTACTCAATAGCTCAGAAGCATTTAATAATAAACAAATATATCGTTATCCACGTCATTGTGAAGAATGCGAAATTTGGGGGTCTATTAACGAACGAAACTTTCCTTAACGTGGTACCTCTTAGTTTACAAGTATACGTTAAACAATAAATTGGTACACATGCATGATTGAGTGAATGGTGCATGTCCGTGTGACGAATGTATATAATGTTTCACCTCTAATCATTCTACCCCTCTAATTGGCTCAAAGTTGCACGACATTATGCAGCACTTCAAAACTAATACACCAAAAAAACGTTGATACGATGATAAAATCACCTGTTAGCCAATCCCTCTTACTTGTCATCCAACAGACGTTTTTCTCGGAGACGATGCATGCGTGTGGCGTCGCAATGGTGATCTTCAAGATCATGCCACGTCTAGATGTAGTGGGCGCCCTGACACTGTCAATCTCCGTCGGCATATTCCCCGGTATCTTCAGCATGCTGTCACGCAGTAGCAACGACAAGAGGACCACAGGAGACGTCGTACTAGATATTGCCGCTATCTTCTTACAGATTGTGGGGATCTGCTACCTTACAGTACTTCACATCGTAGGAATGGTGGGCTCACGGCTATTAATACTAATATATTGATAATTATGGCATTACACTCCGATATAACATGTCTTATAACATTAGACCTGCAGACTATCAAGAGTATATTAAGACTTGCCTTAAGACTAGTCATAATATACGCTTCATAATATCATTGGCGTATTAGAGACATTGGATGCTGTGTGCCTATAATGATCATTTCTCAGAAATTATTATTTTGAACAGAATAATACATTAAATTGTTAGTGTTACGGACGTTACTAAAATTTGTTGAATTCACAATTTTATATACAAAGTATTGTAGACTTCTAAAACTGTGAAAGCATTGCAAGCATTGTATTACAATGTGAGCTACACTATGTGTACTTTTAACATGTTTGTTGGAAGGTATGCCACAATTTTCGACAATATAGTAATCCGGACGTTACCATTGACAAATTGACAATTCTTGTGTAACGTCCGAATATAAAATTCAAAATTTATCAAAGTTATTTACAATCAAACAAGGACACATTTGATGGCAGAATTTAAAGGAAACCTACTTATACATACAAAGAGGGAAAGTATTTGCTACATAATTTGTATTGCAATCCTGATACGGACGTGACTTTGACTTTGACATACCAGTAACAAATTGTGATCAAATGTCAATAGTAACGTCCGAGCGTATTTATGTCAATATCTGAACATTCTCCACTTCAATGATCGATATTTATATGTTTAATGTCTGCATGCACAATAACATGGATATTGGACATGATATCATTTCCATGCACATGTACTTAAAGATTTTGTTGAAAACAATAACGTCCGAACGTCACGGACGTTACTCAGGAAATATTTGAGAGACAGCCATTTGTCTTTATTTTCAACTTTCTCAGATGTATCTGACACAAATCCCTGATGTTACTTTCTGTGGAATGTTCTACTTTAACTGTGAGTAGGGGTGTTATGCCAAGAGCATGTCTAGATTTTATTTTTTACATCAAAGTTACGGCCGTTATATTTGACAGACATGCAGGCACTGATTTTTTATTTGATTTATTTTATGTGTAGTCGCATTCTTTGAGAAAAACAGTAGTGGTCATGAACATAAGACATTCAATGTATGTGTTAGTGATACTTCCAAGGTTATACTGTATTTGTGTGGGTTTTAAATTTTAGTGCAAAATGTAAGTTTTTTCTTGACAGACAGGTAACGTCCGTGTCTACTAAATTCAAAAGAAGATAAAGTATCAAAAAACAATATATTTTAAGGATTTCTTTGTTTCATCAAACCAATTTATGTCCTTTCTAACTATATCTAAGACATTATAATGGAGGGGAATAAAATTTAAATATTTATACAACATATGTTAAGCATGCAAAAATTACGTCACAAAATTTCACGAGAAAACATTGACATTTTCCACTAAAACATGCATAAAATTTGTATTCCATGACAAATTTTGGTCAAAACTATTGTTTTTATCTTTACAGCTTAAAATTGAAACTACTACATTCATAATTTGTTGTAAACAGATATATGGAAAAATATGCCCCAAAAAATCACGGACGTTATTAATTACTCAATAGCTCAGAAGCACCCATAATTTATAAACCAAAATGAATGACAATTTGTGACGGTAGCAGGGGCGTGTACAGGATTTGTACCGGGGGGGGGAGGGGTCTAGCCGTAACCCAAACTTGCAAGCACGAATTTTTTTGAAATTAGACCCCCTTAGAAGCGCACACCTAATTGAATAGCCTACTAAATATATTTCTCTCATTGCAGGTGTCAGACAGTAGGTTCCAAGCGTTAATAAACCATTCTTCACGCCAAGTTTTCTTGTCCGACTTCTTTATCTTCTTCAACAGCTCATTAGCGCCGAACCATATAGGTCCACTCTCACTCACCAGCGGACCGCTATCAAGACGTCCCAGTAACTCATCCACGTGCCGCTCACGCAAATACGCGACCGGCACGTGTGTGATTGTTTTAGTGTCGTCCTCGGCCAAAACATTGAAATTATCAATATAAGGATGCGGCATCTTGTTCTTATTTGTACACGAATGTACGTACTCGAATATTTCACGCACGATTTCTCGGAACGGCAACGAATCCGCTGGGTTAAGTGATGCGACATAGAGCAGCGCAAGTTTTAGGAGGTAGGAGTCGATCAGTTTCTTAGGCATAAAGTGAATGGCGTCATACATCTGAATTACGTCTAAGTCAGAATTATTTAAAACTATTACGTCCTTGTTTTTACGCAACACATCATTATTCAATATTTTGTCACGCTTATTATAACAATCATGTACTCGAGGATCAAGAAATGCCTTTGCTACGATTAGAGCCTGGCGATAAACTGGATGGAAACTTCTGATCATATTGCTTTCCGCTACTGCCGTACAGACGGACCAGCTCGTATTGTCTACGCCACGCTTGGGTACCACGTGGTAGTGGTCATAAGGAAAGTTTGTTGCGCCAGCTGGCTTGCCCGAGATTCGTACTACCGGCGTACAATCTACCGATATAGGTAGAAATTTAAAATGTCCGTCGCCAACAAATTTCAGGTTAAACTGGGTGCACACTTTATTCCATTCCAAAATACATGACCTTTGTATTTTGAATGAGTGCTCCCCGTTTATCATGACTTTCGATACAGCCGGACACAATACCTTAACAAATTCTTCTTTTAGATTTACCGAAATATGCTGGTATGATTTTTTTTCGCGAATTGTTACAAGGCCAGCTGTATTAGATTTTGTGTTTTCAACAATTATTTTTTCTCGATATCTATCGATTTCGAATAGGAAGTCGTATTCGTCCGGCAGACCAGCTTTTGTGCGGTTCGCCGTGCTGCCTATCAGAATGGGCGTGCAGGAGAAGTCACTGTCTAAGACTTTAATCTCCTTGCAGACTCGCTTCATCAGGTCTAGCACGGCGTCCCGCATTTGATCGCATTCCCCCTGATGCTCTAATCTTCCCAAGCCTGGCATCTCCCATATATCAAACAGTGACGTCACACCACTGACATTACAGGGTGATTTCTCAAGTTCTTTGTCACAATAACAATTGTTGGGCAGCTGATTGAAGTATTGGTGCGCCAGTAGAACGCCGGCGGATTTTTTATGATCGTCGTTGATGGTAACGGCATGGGCGCAATCTACGGCCACCTGGTACGCTATTTGCACGTCCTCAGGTTGCCACGCACTTATTTTATTCAATAATTTCGTCACAAGGCTTGTTTGACCGCCGTAGGCAGCCCACGCCAACACCGTACTGCCATTGTTACTGCGACTCTCCTCCACACGCGCTGTTTTTTCTAGTAACTTCATAACACACGATGTATGACCGTGTTCGGCAGCATGCATCAACGCCGTCTTGCCATCCACGTCCACGTGATCTATGTTAGCGTCCGCACCTAATAACACTGTCATCACATCCGTAAAACCATATGCAGCTGCATATATTAATGCGGTGTTGCCCTCATCGTTAGCGTGATCTATGTTAGCTCCCGCATCTATTAACGCTTTGACCGTATCCGTGTAACCGATAACACTTGCTATCATTAATGTGCGGTAGCCATGCTCGTTCGCGTGTTCTGTGTTAGCGCCCGCACCTAATAACGCTTTGACCATATTCGTATGACCGCGAGCAGTTGCCCATACTAAGAGTTCACTTCTCGGGTGCGGTAGATGGTTTCCCATATTGATAGGAATATATTGTGCTTTTCGATACTTGAAATCTGGAGAAAAAAACATTTCATCTCTCATAATTAAAGAAGTTTCAAATTTGTTTTCTTCTCACACTGTATGCCAGCATGCGGCTGCGTTTGATTACGGAATGCACGTGTACAAAGATTAACACATGACATACACGTGACAAATCTGCACTAAAACTATGATAATTATCCGTGTATTTATAAAAGGGTTTAATTTCATAGATACGAAGGTTTAATATATGTGAATATTTAATGTGGAAAAAATATGCTTGTAACATTTATTTTATCATAGAAAATCGAAAATGCCGTCAGAACGATTGCAAAACGGACATGATTTAATAAGAGCAAACTTACTTTTTCGCTATCGTATTTCAGGCACGTGTAGACCCCTGGCGATGCTGATCACTGTCCTGACACCTGAGAAAACAATACACCTGGTGTGACAGTCTATTATATATA